AGTCCATCATGGAGGCAGGAGGGGCCAGTTCCACTGCATCCTCAGAAAGCAGCGACACAAGCCAGCTCAGCAGCCTGCTTCGTTTTGTCTGGGAAGCCAGCCCACAGGTTGGTGCCACCCACACTCAGGACTGGTCTTCCTTCCCAAGTTAGACCTTTCTGGAAACACAATTAGAGACACAGCCAGAGGTGAGTTTCCACAGTCATTCTAAATCAATTTAAGTTGACAATGAAGGTGAACCATCACACCTTACACAATGACTGAAGGGCAGGTGATCTTCAAAAAATGTTTAAGATGTACTTAGCTATTTAATCCTTATATGTGTTTTTTCCAAATTAACCACATTGTCACTTTTTTAATCCCATTGGGCTTTTAAGTAAAGCTGCACCAATATTTAAATGGAATTTGGTAAGTAACACTTCCATGATATTCCAGTCTCCTATACAGAACTCAGCACACTTCCTGTGAGCTCAAGTATCCTTTAACCTCCTCAGTGGCATCTTGATAGTCTCCTTCGGTGAACCCTGTGCATTTCTCCTCGAGAGCACCTCCATTACCTCATGGACCTGGAGACCAGGCACGTGCTGCCCTGTGGCAGCTTCTCACTGGCGTTCAAGTGTGAGGGCAGTGTTTAGTCACTCTGCTAGATTCTAATTACACGCTGTGCTTCCCGCCAGTTCTCCTGCGGCTCTATGAATACACAGATACCCAATTACACTGACTGTGGATAATGACGGGTCTGCCTCATTCACGCTCACAAACAATGCCACCTGACTCTACCTCCCAGAGAAGAACATCTTCCAATAGGGTCTTCCAGAATCTTCTTGACAGAAACCTAAAAACAGGCCTTTTACTCACTGTCAGGAAAAAAGGCTGAAAATTTAATCAGAGAACAAAAATAACTGCATTTCCTAGTCCTCTTCCATCCGATATATAAGTGGTCAATGTCCATAGTCCCACAGAGTTAATCAGCTGGTTTCCCACAGACTTAGACTCTGAGGACAAGCAGCCGCAAATGAGAAGTTTCATGCAAACATCTCTGCCATCCTCCTGCAGTCACAGAGGATGACAGCTAACACGTGTCTGCGACAGCTTTAAGCCAAAAACACCTCTTCCACTGCTGAAACACAGGTCCCATGAGGCCTCATTGAAGCAGAGTCAAATCCTGGAGCACGTGCCAAGTCACTTCCTGAGGAAACACTGGCTTTACTCAGTCCTCATAGGGCCTCTGCATGGAGACAGCAATCCACACAGCCCAGGTTTTCTAATGTTACAGGAATAGTTCCCCTATCCTTGGTAACCTCACCCCAAATCATCTGCAGAGAACAGTAGTAGGTAAAAAATCCCAAAGGTAAACCACCCATGAGTTCTAACTCCACCCCCATTCTAGGCAAAATGGTGAAGTTTTCATCCTGAATTTGGGGTGGATATCCACCATTAATCAACGAACAGCATCTAAGTTATCAGTCATTGCCTCATATGACATGCTGTGTTCAAGTAAGCCTTGTTCGCTTAATAATGGTCCCAAGGAAGCTGGGCGTGGTGGCACATGCCTTTAATCTCAGCACTCGGGAGGCAGAGGCAGGCGGATCTCTGTGAGTTCAAGGCCAGCCTGGTCTACATAGCGAGTTCCAGGTCACCTGAAGCTGTCTCAAAAAGACAAAAAAAAAAAAAGGCAGGGTTTCCCTTTAGCCTCAGGTGGAACTTGAAGATTTTAAGTGATTAAGGAACTTTCAGATTTTAGGTGAACACATCAATTAATTTGTTTCTCCAGAATGAGTCAGAGGAAGGTTCTGAGAGCTCTTAATGCCTGGTTCTAGGTGTTGCCTCATGACCTGGGCCATCTATCCTTGGGTTTTGGGTCCTTGGGATTCTGGTTTCCAGTCAAAGTTTCAGTGACATTTTAGATTCTAGGTGAGAAAGGCAGGGACTGTGGCTGTTAAACTGAGTTTCCCTTAGAGGCTTCTAGTGTCCAATGTGTTCTGAGACTCAGAAATTTTCATATTTCAGGAAAGACATGCTGCTCCTGATACCTCCCATGGCCTACCCAAGATCTGAAAAGCACATGCTTAAAAGCACTAACGCTTCCATGAAACACAGATTCTGTCTCCACCAAATAAATGACTTCAACCACAGGTTTGCCCCCAGACAAAGACCTGTACACCTAAGTGAGTGCCATCTCGGTGTTAGAAACATATTCGTGTCTGTTGCCATCCCAGAAATTCTGACCATACTACAAGGGCTTTGTTGACACCTTCTTACTTACCTGATATGACAAAGCCATTTGTTCTTTAGAAGAAATAGTAATCCAGCAACACAGCCAAACGTGAGTGGAACTTTACAGGCTGCCACGCTGGACTGAACTGCTGCTGTGCAGAAAGAAGAGACGACAGACGCGCGAAGCCACCCAGGCTGTGTGGTCTGTGCCCCACTGAGGGCTGCTCAGGCATAAACAGCTCAATGTGTGGGACAGAGAAAGAAAGCCAGCCTGAGGTTCACCTCCAAGTCATGACATGCACTGTTCCCCTGCTTGTCTGAGGACAGAACCACCCACTCCCAAGAGTCCTCACTAGGATTTGGAGAATCAAAAAAACCTCAGCCGAGCTGAGGCTACACAGATGCACAGTCTATAAAGAAAGTCATATCAAACTACAACAGAGAGAGAGAGAGAGAGAGAGAGAGAGAGAGAGAGAGAGACACGGAGACCAGTTTGCCCCCAACTCCCATCCACACACAGCTGGAGACAGGCGAACAACAAGCCCAGTACATCAACCTGAAATCCACAGCACCAGGCCAGACGCCATCGCCAGCAGCAGCGAGAGCTCTGGAGACTCCGTTTTCTTCATATGCTCCTGTTCCTTCAATGGGAACGGGAGATGACAGGAAGGGGCTGGAATTTACAAGCTAGGTTTGTTACTCTGAGCCAGAATCCTATTTGAGGTTTAATTGTACTTTTTTTAAAGCCAAATTCTGTTCCTACTACAGTGCTTTCAAAGTCTACTTCCACCTCTGTGAAACAGCCTGATGGAAAGGAATAGGCAAGACATAAGTTTTCAGCATCAAATCTGCCAGCCTGAACTGCTGCAGCCTCAAA